AGAAGGGGCTAGGCTTGCATAGAAAGTCCATGGATAGTCCATGGAGCTTTAACCCATGGATCTGATGGAAATGAAAGGTCATGGGTATTAGGGTTTACATGAATGTAACCCTAATCCACCACACTATTGTCTCAAGTTTTCCAATGTGTTTTTGGAAATTTGTGATTCCACTTGAGGCTTCCACACTATTGGGTCTAAGCTCTTACAGTTCAAGACTTCAAGCTCCATCAAAAGGTATGTCATTTAACTAGGCTTTGTAGTATAGTTACTTCATATCATGCTAGTTAGGATTAAAACCTTGGAATATTAAATATTTGCATGTATAATAGAGAAAACATAGATCCAAGGTTTATAGGGTTGCATGTACACCATAGGGGTGTCAGAATGCTCAAAACCCAGCAGCCCAACCTCGTCCCAACAAACCGGGGTCCTGCACCTCCAACCATACAACATCTCGAATGGTGGTCGATCGATACTGGCATGGTAACTGTTGTTTTATGAAAATTTTGCCAACTCCCTCCAAAATCCAACACGCATGCTCTAAGCATGTCCTCCAGTGTCTGGATCGTCCTCTCGCTCTGGCCATCGGTCTAGGGGTTGTATGCCGTGCTAAAATGTAGTTGAGTGCCCAGTTCCTCGTGGAACGTCTTCCAGAACCTAGATGTCAACCATACATCTCTGTCAGAAACTACCGACACTGGCACCTCGTATCTAGCCACCACCTCTCACACATAAATATCCACCAGCTTCTTAGTGGATATACTCTTAGAAATCAGAATGAAGTGGGTACTCTTCATCAGTCTATCCAGGATCACACATATGGCGTCCATGCCCCTCGCCGTCCTCGGTAACTTCATGATGACGTCCATAGTGATCTCATCCTATTTCCACACGGGAATAGGTAGCAGTTGTACCTTGCCATGAGGCCGCCAATGCTCGACATTAACCTTCCTGCAGGTCAAGCACCGCTCCACAAACCAGGCGATCTCCTACGTCATGCAGGGACACCAATAACGCAGTCTCAAGTCTCTATACAATTTTGTAGCCCTTGGATGTATAGAGAACTTGGACTTGTGTGCCTCCTCTAAGATCCTATGTTTCACCCCTCTAGACACTGGTACCCACACTCGGCCACGCTGTGTCAAAAGACCACAACTATCCTTAACAAACAAAGGATACTGCCCCTGAATCCGCTATATCTTCCAATTCTCTCTCTTCACTCTCTCGACCTGGGCCTCCTTGATCATGTCTAACAATGAAGAGATCATTGTCATCCTCATTCAAATGTTCCCAATCGGGGACCCACCGTCTTGCAGCTCAAAGCATCGGCCACCACATTGGCCTTCACTGGATGATATAGGATCTCGCAATCACAATCCTTCAACACGTCCATCCACCTCCTGTATCGCATCTTGAAGTTTTATTGATCCATCAAATACTTCAAACTCTTGTGATCAGTATAGACGGTGCACCACACCCCATATAAGTAGTGTCTCCAGATCTTGAGGGTGAACACCACTGCCCCCAATTCCAAGTCATGAATGGGGTAATTCGCTTCATGAGGCTTCAACTGCCTTAAGGCGTAAGCTATCATGTGCCCAATCTGCATCAGCACCTCACCTAACCCTGAAATTGATGCGTCACAGTATACCACCAAATCATCTAACCCCTCGGGTAGTACTAAAATCGAAGCCTCGCATCACCTCTTTCTCAGGATCTCAAAAGCCAACTGTTGAATTGTGCTCTACCGAAATCTCACATTCATCTTGGTCAAGCGGGTCAATGGCACAAAAATCTTGGAGAAATCCTATATAAATCTCCGATAATAGCCCACTAAACCTAAGAAGTTACGAATCTCTGATGTGTTCTTCGGTACTTCTCACTGCATCACAGCCACAACCTTGGCTGGATCAACCGAAATGCCCTCCTGATTGATGATATGCCCCAAAAACTGTACCTCTCGCATCAAGAAATCTGTAACATACACGTTTTGAAATCGTGATTTGTAATGAATAAAATTAAGAAATACTATGTGAAATTGAATGTTGAGTTCTAACAAATGGTTTTTACTAGAAATGAAGTAAAACTATGTTTAGAATCACTCAGAAAATATTTGAATTCTTATGAGATTCCAATTAAAAGCCAAATAGTGAAATTTAGCGAAAATATAAAATTTTAAATAAGTAAAATTTTATTATTTGATGTTGTATAGAATCTCGTTAGAAACTTGTAGGCGAAAACCTCATCGAAATTCGAGTTATAACGAAGAAGTTATGACCAACCGATGATCCACGAAAAAACCGGTACGGCGCCGAATGACGTAAAAAGTGAGTTTTTGATAAACTACTTTTTAGCGTTAGTAATCTAAATGAAAGTCGTAGTATTCGTTAAACCGAGAAATTCGATAAAAAGAACGCCAAAATCTGACTTCGTATAAGGAAGTTATGATTTTTCGATGTTTAAACTTAGCAGTAGACAGCTAAAAACTCGAATTTTAGATCGAGCGATATTTGACTGATACATTCTAAACGAGAATCTAAGGTCTCGTCATTTGTAGTACAACGGAAAAAATTCTGACAAAAACGGATGTCGGATGAAGAAGTTATGAATTTTTAACGGATTTTCCTGTCCTGGTCTGTTAAAAATAATAATATTAAAAATAAATTCAAAATTAGCCAATGAAGTCTAAACGAAAGCTGTAGAGCGTAATTTTAGCTACGTGTGCATATAAGGAACATCAAAAACGGAGCTCGTATGCGAAAGTTATGGATTTTAGAAGTTCGGGGCCCGAAAAGCGATAATTTTCGCATGAACAGTGTTCGGACACGTCACCTCGCACGAAGCAGCAGCATCATCCGAGACGTGGCCCAATCCGGAGTCGGCGCATGTCGCTTAATGATTTGACCGAAGTCCAGTCCAAGGGAATTCTGATGCGCCTCGCCTTGGTGTCAGAAGCTCGCTCCTCCACGCCTCCTCGCGTACGAGTCTTCGCGCCTGCCTCGTCACTCCTCGCATCCGAGCCTCGCAGATGCGACGTGGCCCTCGCTGCTGATGCCACTGAGCTGCTTCGCTGCCTGCTTCCTTCCCAGCCAACTTTTGCCTCGGCCCTATATAAAGGGAGGCTGCGAACCTTGTTGACTAACTTTGGAAATTTGCCACTTTTAGCCCCTCTTTCCATATTTTCTTCATTTTGACTTTTCCCGAAGCCCCGATATCAATTTTAGCAACCGAAACACATCCCGAGACCCCCGAGAAGCCCGAAAATTTTATCTTTTCGGTTTTGAAGCCCTACCTTCGCAGAGCCCGGTTTTCAATTAAGCTCCCTGTTTTCAACATAGAAAGTCATATTTAAAGCCGAAGTGTTGTCCAAATTACTATTTTAACTGCCGGTTAACTTAAGATGAGTTCAATATATAGGAAAAATTGTATGTTATGTGTTATATGTGCTATGTGATTTTCAGTATTAATATTCTGAGTTATTTTCCCGTGTGATTTTATTCGCTATGTTTATAGCAATTGTAATACCTTTTACCATGTGATCAGTGAAAGGACGTAGATTCACATTGGTACTAGTACATAGCCTCTGGCCATGTAGAGCATGTCTCCGTAAGAGAATGACTTCTATTCTATGGCATTGGCAAATGGTTAGACAGGACTATAAGCCTGAAATTTAACAAGATGTTAATCAGAAATTGCATGTCTTCTATGCCATTTGGGCCAAAGCTTTATTGATGTATATCAAGAATTGAATAGTATATCTTTGAATAAAGTCTTTGATTGATATGAACGCTTCTCACATGATCTCACATATGTCTTGTTACTCTTCCTTGCCTTTGCCACATTGAAGTATATATATGGCATAACGTTATATTGTATCTATTATTGAACTCACTAAGCGTCACCGCTTACCCTATCAATGTTTAACAATTGCAGGTGATAAGTAACTAGTATGTTCACATACTATTGAAAGATTTAGAATAGTTTGTAATAGTACTTTTGTACTACAGTTTATGTTTGTATAAATTACAATATCCTGGGTCGTTATGAAATATATATAACACTTTGTAATAGACGGTTTGTATCCAATAGTTTGTAATTCCCTTTATCAATGTAAAATATTGCTTATATAAATATGCAAATAGCATGTTTTGGAGTAATGATATTGTGAAGTATGAAAGTTTGGGTCGTTCAAAAATACGAAAGTTGGGGTCTTTCAACCATGGTATCGGAGCAGTAGTTTAAGCGAACTAAATTCCACGGATTGGTATTTAGACTTAAACTATAGGAAGTTCAATATATGAACTTAATCATTGTAAGTATAGGGATACAAACCATAGGAAATATATAAGTAAAAGTATTAGGTAATAATAAACCCTAATATTCTAAAATACTATCTTACTCCGTAGTTCAAATTGATGGTTGAACAAGTAAGTAGCCATACCCCTGAGGTTGGTGGAGATCCTAGACCTGAGGAAGTGAATTGTAACACCTTGTTTATTTATTAAATAAATCAATAGATTTATGAAGATATAGTAGCCCTAAAATCAATAATTTTGTAGCATGGTGTTGGTTACGAGGAGCTATTCGTCATAATTTGGATGTTGAGGGTTAAAAGTGTAAGCTCTGGACCCCGTTTATAAATATTTATGAAGGTAGGGACTTCGTGGTAATTATTTCGAATTAATTTAAAGCGAAATGATGTGGAAGGGCTGAATATGTCATAACTAAGATATTGGGTGTTGTCTGGTAAATTTTGTACCTAAGATGTAAAGGATTTAATGCGGAGGGTTAAATGGTAATTATCGGATTTAATTTGAAGAAGATTTCCAAAGTCAGGGTAGAAAGGTTAAAATTCGGATTACATTTGATAAGATCTTATGAGGAGGGACTAGAATGGTTTAAAGGGCAAAGTTCAAATATGAGCACGGGACAACTCCTGTCACCCTTGCTTAAGCCGAGCATATATGCATCATAACTCCCATTTCAAACCCTAAACCTAAATGTTGAAGATAGCCGCCACTCAAGTTCATCAGCCGCCACCACCGGTTCCTCTCTCGTGTTCCGACCAGATAGAACTCCGGCTACCGCCGCTTACTGCCTCGACATCGAGATGCCGTCACACCTTGCCGCCGGACACCATGTGCGAACGAAGAAAACCACTGAGAGCGACTTTCGAGTGGTGTGATGGCGTTCTCAGATGCTTCTTCTCCTCTTTCTTCGTCCATTCTCCTATCCTACAAGTCCGACGCCGCCATCTGTTGCCTCCGGTGAAGCCAAGGAAGATGAAGACCACGTCGAGGCATGTGGTGTTGCGGGTTTCTCATCTTCGGCCATTGCCTCAGTCACGTCGGCCGCTACAACGCTGTTGTCGGAGTTGTATGCACCGGAGAGCAGTCGAGGACGAGGTTGCTGTTACGTTCGTCCTTCATCACCATTCACCTCCTCTTGTTTCTCTCCGATTGCAGCTAGTTGGGGTCCCTTGTTGCCGCCGTTCACCACCCCGAAGGGGCTATTGTGGGGTTTCGTGTGTATCTCAGTCGAAGTATGTGTGTGGGTGTTATTGGTCGGAAAAGGCATTACCACCTCCTACCGCCGGTATGCTATTTGTGGTGTTGCTGCCATCGCTAAATGCCACCAGGTGGGTGGCTAGATCCAGTTGCAAGCAAGAAAATGCATGGGTGTGTGTATTTTGCTGTAGAGTGAGCTTGGTTTAGTCGGAAAACCGGGAATGGCCACCACCACCACCGTGAGGTGGTGGCTGCCACCATGTGCCATCGTGTATGTGTATTTTAGTACGTGTGTGAGTGTGTGAATTTTGTATTTTGCATTGTAAATTGTAAATATGTAAATAATGGAAAGAAATTGAAAACCACCACCTTAGGGTGGTGGCTACCGCTTCCTGCCGCCACCGGCCGCCGTGTCGAGTGGCGGTGTGCTCGCTTTGTGAGTTTGATTCGTTTAGGGTGCTTGTAAATCCTAATGGGCCTTGTAAGCCCTAATGGACTCTAATGGACCTAATAAAACCCTAATGGGCTTAATAATATTCTAGTGGGCTTAATAGGCCTAATAAAGCCCTAAATAACCTAAAAGTCCAACAAATTAATAATGGGCTAGTATTTGAGTTGGAAAAACCCTAATGCCAGTAAATCTTAATTTGGGGAATTAATCGGGTCACACACGCAAGAATTATTTAATAACTTGAGCTATTAAATAATAATCATTGGCGGAAATTAATCTAAGCAATATTGGACTTAATGGATTAAGTCCTTAATGGATTAATTCCTTAATGGGTTAAGTAGGAAACTTAACCCTAATCATCATTTTATGTGAAACCCTAATTTCACTTGGGTTTATTATTGGGCCTTTCTTTTGGGCCTTGAGGGTTGGGTAATTAATGGGCCATCCAAAGTCAAGCCAATGAACTAGAATAATTTAATGGGCCTGGGGTAAGGCCATGTAAGGGGCTTGGGCCCAATTTGGAAAATTGGGCCATAGTTGGGCCTTAATGATTATATGATGTTGGGCCTTAGAATGAGACCATGTATAGGCCTAGGCCCAATTTAGAAAATTAGGCCATGTGTTGGGCTTTGATTCCTAGTCGACTTTGGGCCTATGGATTAGGCCTTGGGCTTGAATAAGCCAAGTTAGGGGTCCTGTAGTAATTACCAAAAGAATGTACTTATGGTTATGTATTGGGACCCAGTTATTAATTGGGTGTTATTTTGGTGTTGATAGTTCGGGAATCTGTCAGCCAGCAGCTGGGGTCGAGTCTGCGGGACTTCAGCAAGTGTGGGATTGTGTCTTCGGAACTTCAACAGTATAAGGTGAGTTACCTTCCAGTAGCGGTGGGTCTACAGCCACAATACCGGACCACCAGTAGGAATTGTATGATAGATGTTTGTCTTTGTGATATTCATTTAGGGTTGCTACTACCTATGATATTTTATTGTGCTAGTATGATATGATGCTATGTGCTAGTGACAGTAAGGGGAGATAGTCCCCCAGAATACCGGTCGATAGGGCCGAAGGGGCGGTCATGCCCAGCCATGTTAGATAGATTATGTGATATATGTGTTATGTGGTAGTAGTAGGGGGTGAAATAGTCCCCAGTATCCGGTCGAGAGAACCGAAGGGGAGGCTAGCTCCCTGATATGCTAGTCAGTATCCGGTCAAGAGGACCGAAGGGGAGGCCAGCTCCCAGACATGCTAGACAGTATCCGGTCAAGAGGACCGAAGGGGAGACCAACACCCAGATATGCTAGTCAGTATCCGGTCGAGAGGACCGAAGGGAGGCCAGCTCCTAGATAGATTAGTCTGTATTCGGTTGAGAGGACCGAAGGGGTAGGTCGGGCACCCAGATATGTGTAACAATATATGTATGTTATGTGATTGTATGGTATGCGGTATGATGGGGGAACTCACTAAGCTTCGTGCTTACGGTTTTCAGTTTTGGTTTCAGGTACTTCATGATTAAAGGAAAGGAGCCGGCTTGATCGCAGCGCATCACACTATGGTTTTCCGCACATGAGATCTTTAGGATTACACTTTGATATTGTTTCATGATAACATGTTTGATTATTTCTACTTTGGTTTTGACATGACATGATGTTACAAATGTTTTATTACATTGTTGGTTTTATAATGACGTATTTAAAAATGAAATTTTTGGCCTGTATTTTTGGGACGTTACATGAATACTCTAGTATCTCCTCGTGAGGAGCGACTCTTAGGTAAACTTACCGGTGTTATTCGACAGACTCTCGAAGAACACAAAAAGAATGATGATAAAGGAAAAGAGAAAGTCACTGGAGAATCTTCAAGCGGAAAGGTGAAGCATCCCTCATTCAAAGATTTCAAGAGTAGTGGTGCTACGGAGTTTTTTGGTGTCCTTAATCCTATAATTGTTCTAACTTGGATTCAGAACACCGAGAAAGTATTTCGTGTTTTTTATGTGGATGATGAAGACAAGGCTATCTATGCTTCTGCAATGCTCATTGGAGAAGCCTTAGTTTGGTGGGAAGCAACATATGAAGCTCTCGATGGATGTGACCAGGAGAACTTATGCAGGGAGTTGTTCAAGACTCATGTGCTAGAGAAGTATTGTCCTCTAGTTATGAGGAGAAGATTGTAGAAGGAATTCCTTGAGCTTAAACAAGGAGGAATGACTGTGAATGAGTATGAAACTCAATTTAATCAAAGAGCAAGGTTTGCTACGAAGTATATTCCAACTGAAGACGAGAAAATTCAGTTATTCATGGAGGGACTATGACACGAAATCCATGATTTCATTGTCAATCGGGATGTTCTATCATTCGATAAAGCTGTTGAGTATGCTCGAAGGCGTGAGCATGACTTAGAAATACGTGGTGCCACTCTTATTGTTCCAAAGCATCCACGTACTGAAAGAACTACTCCTGCTTCCACTATTGCACCAGCTCAATCTATTCGAACTGATCCTAGCAAGCAAGCACAATCTCAGAGTGCTTTTAGTGGCCCCGGTAGGTCACAATCTTTTTCTATTCAATCGCCTTCATGTCACGTTTGTGGAAGGAATCATCCGGGTAAATGCAAAATAAACAAGGAATCCATTGTCTGTTATGGGTGTGGAGAAACAGGTCATATAAAGCCAGCTTGCCCAAGGAAGGATGTGACTTGTTATGCATGTGGTATTACTAGCCACAAGAAGCGTTTTTGCCTTACTCTTACCATCCAAGTGACAGGAAGTCAAGCTTCTGTTCAACAACCGGTGAGAAGTCAAGTCCATGTCCAACAACCGAAGAGTACTCCAGCTAAAAAAAAGGAGGTGCCAAAAGCTAAAGGTCGTGTATTCCAGATTACCACAGAGGAAGCACGTGAGGACCCGAATGTCGTGACGGGTACATTTCTTGTCAACTCTAGACCTGCTCACATCTTATTTGATTCTGGTGCCTCGGATTCTTTCGTATCTCATGAATTTGCGCATTCTTTTCAAACTGTTTGCTATGCACTCGCGCAACCATTTCACGTAGATACTGCAGGAAGTATATCATTACTTGCTGATAAAATCTATAGGGATTGTGTCATAGAAATTGAAGGCTATAATTTTCTTGCTAACCTAATCCCTATCTCCTTGCCCAATTTCGATATTATTCTCGGCATGGATTGGTTGTCAAAGAACCATGCAGAACTCTTGTGTTATGAAAAGATGGTACGCATTCCTATTGAAGGGGAAAATCCTATTCATGTCTACGGTGAACAATGGATCTTAAAAATAATCTCTTTCCTCAAAGCTCGTAAATTCATATCGAAAGGTTGTCCTATCTATCTGGCCTATACAGTTGACATCTCAAGAAAGGAGAATAAAACTGTAAATGATATTCCCATTGTTAACGAATATCCCGATGTTTTCCCCGATGATCTGCTTGGACTTCCTCCAGACAGACAAGTAGAATTCCGAATTGACCTTGTGCCCAGTGCTGCTCCGATTGCAAAGAGCCCTTATCGTCTTGCGTCAGCCGAGATGAAAGAAATGATGATCCAACTGCAAGAATTACTTGACAAAGGCTTTATTCGACCGAGTACCTCTCCCTGGGGTGCTCCAGTATTATTTGTCAAGAAGAAAGACGGATCGATTCGAATGTGCATTGATTATCGTGAGCTGAATAAGGGGACTATCAAGAACAAGTACCCACTACCTCGCATCGACAATTTATTCGATCAACTTTAGGGTGTTAGCTATTTCTCAAAGATTGATTTGAGATCTGGCTATCATCAATTGAATGTACAAGAGCAAGATGTACCGAAGATTACTTTCCGTACTCGTTATGGGCATTTCGAATTCCTTGTCATGTCATTCGGTTTGACAAATGCTCCGGCCGTATTCATGGATATGATGAATCGAGTGTGCCGCCCAATGCTCGATAAGTCTGTCATCGTATTCATTGACGATATTCTAATCTATTCCAAGTCTGAAGCTGATCATGCCATTCATATTCGTGAAATCTTAGAACTTCTTCGAAAGGAGAAACTTTATGCTAAATTCTCGAAATGTGAATTTTGGCTTTGTCAAGTTCAATTTCTCGGCCATATTATTTCTAGTGACGGTGTATCCGTAGATCCTATCAAAATCAAAGCCATTCAAAATTGGGAAGTGCCCCGTAATGCTTCCGAAATTCGAAGTTTCTTAGGTCTCGCGGGATATTACCGGAGATTCATTAAATACTTTTCTCATATAGTTGTACCTCTCACAAGTCTTACATGGAAGGAAGTGAAGTTCGAACGGGGTGAAGCTCAAGAAAATTTTTTCTCAACTCTAAAAGATCTTTTGACTCATGCTCCCATCTTATCACTCCCAGAAGGTGATGATGATTTCTCTGTATATAGCGATGCTTCAAGATTGGGACTCGGTTGTGTGTTGATGCAGCGTGGTAAAGTGATAGCATATGCCTCAGGACAACTGAAATATTATGAAAAGAATTATCCCACCCATGATCTTGAACTCGTTGCAGTAGTATTTGCCCTAAAACTTTGGAGACATTACCTTTTTGGTACAAAATGCCAATTATTTATCGACCACAAGAGTCTCAAGTATATATTCGGTCAGCAAACTCTAAATATGAGACAACAGCGAGCCATGGAGCTGATCAACGACTATGATTGCGAAATCCTGTACCATCCTAGAAAGGCTAATGTGGTTGCAGATGCACTTAGCAGGAAAGTTTATCGTAATAGTATGTGTTATACTATTACTCACACTACGGTGAAGTTCACTATTCTTGATGAACTAGAGAAGTGGCAAGTTGAAGCCTTAAAGCCAGAAAATGTGAAGAAGGAAGGAATGGTACATTATGCTGATGTTTTACTTGATGATCCACGAGGATTAAAAGTATTTAAGAATCGGCTATGGATTCCAAAGATTGGTGGATTAAGACAGAAGATTTTAGATGAAGCTCATAAGTCTAAGCTATCAATACATCCTGGTACAAGTAAATGTA